CCCCAATGATAATCTGAGTGTCAGGATCATAATCTAAGTTGTCGATACATGACTGAATATGTTCCAGAAAAGAACAGTGTGACTTTTCGTCATTTGGGGCGTAAATATTAAGCAACAAGAAAGGGCTATTTTCAATTAACGTATGTATAAGATCAAAACGACCATCAGGGTCGATGACAGTGTTTTTAACATCAAAGTCTATATCACGAATAACAGTAAGCACTCCCCTACTACTATTAGTACCATGTGAAAAGAAACCCTGACCTCTAAGTTGCGACGACCAACTATACTGATCTGTGGAGAGACTATGGGTCTCCTGGAGGAAAATAATATTCACTTGTTTTCTATTTAGCCAATTCCATACTTTCTTTCTTTTGACGAGATTTCTTATACCATTGACGTTTAACGTCACAATTTTAAAAACTACAAGCTTCTTAGTAAATATTGAAATAACATTTCAGTTGATGACAGAGCAACAATTGAATGTCAGGAATTAGTTTTCGCGTATCTGTTGATCGACTTGTTTAGCTGATTACTAGTGAATGGCTGTGTTATATCTGTCATCATTTAGGATCATGCGAGGTCCTGGACGGAACTCGACTCAGTGATTTGAACTAATTACGATATAACCGTCGCTATCCGGACCGCTATTTCTGACAGTTGATATTCGCAGTTAGTAATACAGTGAACGATTAATCAAAAGATATGACGTATTCGGTACTTAGTTTGATTGGCTATGTGCAAGTTGAATGTGTGAAGGTTACGCCTTAGAGTCTTTTAACTGCTTTGTAATTGGTTAAGTTTTGATACGTAATAAACGGACTAAGTCCTTGGTCAGAGAGAGAGAGAGAACTCCACGAGGCGAGAGAGTCTTGGTCCGTGCTGGGCAGAGAGGCTCCGACAAAGCAGTTTGCTCGAGGCGTTCTCGATGTAGCTAAAGGCTAGCTATTGAAACGTATTTCATTGTGTGCGTTTATTTGACTGTAAAGCTTAAGTGACGTCCCCGGTCCGGTACCTCAAGCAGACGAGACAGAGAGCCGAGAATTCCCCCGTGACACGTGTGGGAGAACCCCGAGTAGAGAAGAATTTCCCCGTGATGTGAACACAAAATTCAATGTTTCCTCAGTATTAAGCGTCAATCTATGTTTATTCACATTCTGGTGCCAGTTTTACACCAGGCACTAACCAACAATAAAACAACATAATCATTTAGAAAATAATTCTCGGTACCAAAATGCTCAGAGCACCTAATAGTTAATCTCAATTACTCCGTTGTGAGCCGTCAAAGTTTCACTTTTGTTCAACTGACCTGTCAATAACTGCCACAACGAGGCCAAGCATGCGCAATGTATATCAAATATGCTAATAATGTTACTAAGGTCATGACTAAGAATATTTCATTATTATTAGTATTAATCAATAGCATTGATCATAAAACACTGCAACCACATATTTTCAGCCTCGGCTTGCTGCCTATCTAATGTGGTGATTAGAAGACTGTGCACGCTCTCCGCTATACTCAACTGCTTACTTGATTCAACGAGTGTATTTGCCTTTTATATTAAACAGCAACTTTCTAAAAGTTCAAAGCTGTACAGTGCAACCATCGGTGACTGTCCCTGGCTTCGGAAATGTAATTACAAATTAAATTAGTGAAAATATACTATGCATAAAATGTACATGTTTTTAGCCAATTCATTTAATTTGTGTTTCATTCAATAAACTGAATATTCTGCTACAATGTAGTGATTTTTTCAACCTAACCGTGACACCTGTACCCGTTTTCAAATGTATACATATTATTACCACTTTCATGATTGGACAGTGTGTCCATCGGAGAGGTTAAAATAACAGACCGTGATCACGTGTTTATTTTATATCCAAGTCTACTATACTTGTACTTTTATAGGTGGTATTTGGTACTACGGTGATGAACTACGAAAGGGACAGGTCGCTGCCACCTATGATTCTGTGGTTACCAATATCAGCAAAGAAATGTTATGCTTCTCCGACTTTCCATTTCCAAAGGAATGGCCGCCGTTCATACCACATAAAAAGGTACATCAATATTTGCACAGTTATGCAGAACACTTCGGGTTGAAGAAATACATCAGATATAACCAAGATGTGCTTTCAATAGAAGAGTCGGGCGATGATGGATGGAATGTTGTCTCAATGAATAGTGATGGCAGGGTTGAAGAAATATTTGATCATTTGATGGTATGTACTGGAGTATACAACAAAATACATTACCCATCATACCCTGGCTTGGATGAATTTACGGGAATACAGATGCATGCAAATCAATACCGAAACACAACAGGATTAACTAACAAACGAATTGTTGTTGTAGGTAGGTAGATTACATGAACACTGGATACTGTCGGACGATGCACGTACGAAAATCATGTAGTAATGTTTTCCCATATAAAGTAAAAGTAGTAAAAGGTTGCCTCATAATCGCTGCGTAGCCTTGAGTATGTATATCTGATTTTTTCTCGACAGCTGCATGTATCACAGCTGGAGAAATATCATGCGAACTTGCCAGGACTGGATCTACTGAGGTTACCATATTGTTTTTTTTTATGTATATACATAATCTTACAATGGAATAGAAAATATACCACAATTAACATTTTATAATTATTCATATTTTACTACAGTATTGTAGACAGTTGGCCTCGTATACAACACAAAATTCACAAAAACGTAATCAGAATGATCATGCCATCTTGGTCAATGTTGGAAATAATATTGTCTCTTAATTTGAAACCATGGAATAAATATTTCAACAGGTTATGTGAATTTAAAAGTGAAATAGAAATACGTTTTATAAATGGCGGGTATTTGTAATGGTAAGGAGAATAAATTTGTTTTGTGAATCAACATTAGTTATATATACTATTATATATAGGTATACCTGAGCATGCGCAAAGGCACTTGGGTTATTCCACGCACCGGACCGGATAGTTATCCATACGATATGCGAACGTTTTCAAGGTCCACCATGACTGGTTCTACACAAACCATGGAGTCAACATTAGACAAACTTGTGAGGCAGAATATTCGAGACTACAAGCGTTTAGGGTTGCAGGTGAGAATTACGGCTAAGATTAATTATTTTATTTTCAAAGAAAACATGATTCACAGACACTGAATAGGTTTTGACGTTATGAGTCATTGTATTTCAAGAGAATATGTATAGTCTTGTGAACAACCTAAGAACGATGCGAGTCGTTTTCTTGTGGCATATTCGGTCATCGTAAGGGCATGATGCAAACCATTTTTGTTTGTAGTTTTCAGTCACCAAGCACTAGATGATAAAGTTATGGTTTCAGTCACAAGACAATCAATATGTGGACCTTTATGATGTTCATTCATCATACACTCACAAAATGAGCCGTTTTAAAATGTGAAACCTATATTTAGTTAGTTGATTTCAAATCTATGTATGAATGATATTGCTCAATCAATTTTATTGAATCATTATGTAATGATATAGCAGCGTGTACAATAGAAATAGTTCACACATAATCATTGTGGGTGTTTCAAAGCTCGTCTTCCCTTGTATCTCAGATTGCCCATTGTCAATTCAATCGAATGACTGATGGTTTATATATCAGTTCTGTGTATTGAAGGTTGTAGGATCGAATCCTGAACGATGTTACTTGCAATTGTGGACTTGAATAATGATCATTATTTAAAATGATGTTTAGATTGATTTAAATTAACATGTTTCGTCACTGAATAAAGATTTAATAGTATAATGCCATGAACGAGGTGAATGATTCTGAAAATCTAAAATCTGATATTTAATGCAACAGTCATTTCGCCTCATGTCCATGATATGTGACTGACCTCAATTTATTGTTTTATTTCAAGAATCATGAACCGATATTAGACACACAATCACTGATGATCAACGATGACATCCG